GTCATAGCAGCATTCTTGCAGTAAAGGGAGTATTGATCAACTGCAGAATGGCCAGGCAAACTAGTATGACTGCAATGGAATACTACTGTACCATTGCAAATGACAAATATGAGGAGTTTAGAGTAATGCAGGAAGACCTATATAAACTAAGGTGATGCAGTCCTGAAGAAAGGAGAACCAGAAGAAGGACTCTGTCTAACTAAACTACAAACTAATTACCCAGCATGATGGTGGATGAAGAGAAATCTTCTATAAGAAGTCTCTGGTTTGCATTTCTAGAAAAAAAAAAAAAAGGATGAAGAACAGTTCAGATAAAGAAAAAACCCTACATATGCCAGAAAAGAATTTAGTTCCTACGTGTTATAAAATGAAGTGTTCTTCAAACTATCCAGCCATACCTCACCTGCCTTTTCCCTCCATTCTTGTGGAGCCCCTTCCTCCAAAGATGAATTTTTCCTGGAATCTTCATTTTGGGGAAAGGTCCTAGACCAGCCATCCCTCATTATCCAAATAGCCAACATGCCCCAATATCAAGGGTACCTCCTTCCCCACCACAGCCATTTCAGTTCTTCTTTTATGTATTGGTTTCCCCCATAAGAATGTAAGCTCCTTGGGGGAAGATCTTTCTTTAGTGTCATGCATAGTATAAGTACTTAATAACCACTTGTTGACTAAAAAGAATAATATGTACAATGACTAAAATAATGTAAGTGAAAACAACTTTAAAAAATAGCTGACCTCAAACTAAATATAATGATCGATCTTAGTGCTGGAGGCCAGATGATGAAATTAACTTCCCTACTCTAGATAGAAAGGTAGAGGGCTAAGAATGCTGTATATGCTACCAGATGGTTCTGTGTTGGTCAATTTTACTAAACTGTTTTTCTTTATTTCAATGAAGAGGTCAATGGGGAGTAGAGTTTTCAGGAAATGACTATGATATAAAATCAAAAGGCACTAATAAAAAAAATTAATAGACATGGGATGGGTATTCCATGATCTCTAAGGTCCCTTTCGGCTCTAAATCAATAATCCTATGAACCCGGGGGCTGTGGGCTCAAATTAGAACAAATCTAATACGCCAAGCATTGATAAGGGAACTGGATACATTTGAAAGTGGGGCTGACTGAAGGCGTGATTATTCCAATCCAAATCAGAAATCTAGAACCACTAGAAACAATCTGAAAGTGAGTCAATTCAAAAATCAATGAAACAGCAGGCACTTGGCAAGTGCTTACTATGTACCAACACTGTGCTGGGTACTAGGGGTGGAAAGAAAGAAAAGAAAGAGGAAGGAAGGGAGAAAGAAAGGAAGGAAGGAGAGAGGAAAGGCGGGAAAGAGAAATAAAGAAAAAAAAAGAAATTGTCCCTGCCCTCAGGGAGCTTATATTCTAATGGGTTCTAACACTCACAACTATAAGTATATAAAGAATATACACAAAATAAACACTAAGTCATCAGGATAAGGCACTAGCAATTGGAGAATCAGGAAAGACTTTTTGTCTACGGTGACACTTGAGCACAGTTTGGAAAGAAAGGGGAATTCTAAGAAGTGGAGGTGAGAAGAGACTGCATCCAGGAAAGGGAGCTAGACAGTGCGAAGGCTTAGCGATAGCATATGGAAGGTTGTTATATATAAGTGAGGCCCACTAAGAAGATCAGTATAAGAAGTGCTAGAAGGAAATAATGTACAATGACACTAAAAAAGCATAGGCTGAGGCTTGGTTGGAGGGTTCTCAAAGCCAGAAGAGTTTGTATTTGATCCCAGAAGAAAGAGGGAGTTGTTGGGAACTGAGTAAAGGAGTCATGTGGCTGGACCTGCCCTTTAAGGAAAAAAAATGTATCTTGAATGTCCTGGCAGTTCTACAGATGGGGCTGGGTTATTGCAGATAGCCAACAACTCCCCTCAGATCCAGCCCTTCTAGAAAGAAAAAAGCACTCTGACCTTTACCTTAGTCTGGCATTCAGCAGAATTCACTATCTGTTTTCCCAGTATAATCACCAACCCAGTCACAGCAGACTGATAATTCAGTAAACAGTCTCCAAGGGACTGTATCCCAATACTCCAAAACCCACATCTCCATGAGCCATAATGTGAAGATTTTCCACATAAGAGGCATATCTTAGTCTTGCAAAAAAATACCCAAAATTTACCAACCCACAAAAAATTATCAGCCCAATCTCTCCCAGGAAGCACATAAGTTATTTAACTAATGAAAAAGACACTCTTTTGAATGTACTTAACTTAGGCAAGTGGTTATTTGAAATGTATACAAGCAGGTTTTTAACCCTTTTTTTTAAAGACCCTTCATAGAAACAAAGATAAGTGACAATTCATACCATCTTAGATAAAGTATCGAGTTTCTAGGCTTTGATAACAATATTTTTAACCTTTGAGGTGTTTTCTGTTCCCACCCATTTCTAGTTATATCAAGTTTCCCTAGTGCTTGTTATCTTGGACTCGGGCACCTTGTGGCCTTAGTAAAGATTGCCAAGAAGAGTAAGTCATAAGTAGCAAGACAACACCTACAAAAAAAACTACTAGCGTGTAGAATGAAAAAGCCTGCTGTGACCTTGTGGGACAAGGAGGAAACACATAGAAGAAATTTCAAAGTAGAGCAATTCTTTAAGGTGCCTTCCTTCTAATACATCAAGATGAGAGGCTACAGATGCTGCTACATTTGGCTAGACCTCTAAAGCAAAAAAAGTACAAAGGGGAGCAATTATCTAGATAATTAAGGTCAAATCTGCTACATAACCAATGAATAAACCGTGCTTTTAAAAGCTGATTTATCCAGATAATTATCACCATTCTCCACTTTATCATAAAAGGATCAGTCTGTAAAGCAGGTTGTTCAATTTCTGGCTGCCCTCGACCTGCATTTTGAAAATAATCTTCTGTTTACCTTGAGAGTGATTCAGACCATGGAGCAGACCATGGAGAGACATAATGTTACTTTGCCGGAAACTGACTTACAAATGGGTTCCTGTGCCAATAAAGGCCCCTTGTCTAGATGTTAACAAAGAGAAGGCCTCCTCAATAGAAGGCTGTTTTGACCTCAAAGCCTTGAGCCGCCCTAACTTATTAGCTGAGCTTTCTCCAGTATAAATTGGTGCTACTAGCCACTTAGTTGGACTCACTGTTGGCCCTGTTGATTATGCAAGAAATTCCTATTTGGGGACTAGCATATGTGAGGAAAACAGAATCCCACACCTTTCATTCCACTACAGTAATACTTCAGAGGATACTAAATGTTAAAAGCTATTTGTCTACAATGAGAAGGACTACACTTCAGAGTTGTACAGTCAGAGGTTATAAAGAAGTAAGGATGAAATCACAGGGCAGTTATCAGGCAAAGAGAATATGCTATGGAAGGGATAGAAATCAATGGGTAAGATTGCTATTCCTAGTGCATTATTATAAAATTAAGTATAATGTAAGTATGGGACAATGTGACCAGTAGTCACTTTACAAAAAACAGTATAATGCACTGAGAAAACTTTCTATGATACTGTGATTCAATCAATTACGTGTTGAAAAGGAAATTGGAAAGGTTTCTCTTTTCACCAAGGACCCAGTGGGTGATTTCTTCCACTGGCTAGATATGTCTCCTTCCCATCCCAAATAAATCTACAAAACAAGAATCCTCCTGGATACCAAATCTCTCCCAAGGAGTTCCAAAAAGAAGTGAAATTAAAGCATATTTGTCAATCTGAGTTCCCATCTCAAATTTCACATTCCCAGTAATATGGGGGCACTGGTATAGTGTTACTAATTCACTCATATATAGACTAATGGGTGTAAATACAGGTGAATGTATATTCCTCTACTCAATCAATGCCAGCTATATACATGGTAAAAGATAGCACTGTGGAACTTAAGCTAGTGCATATTATTATTTAGGGAACTGTGATATAAAGCAGTATTATCATAATACTTGTTGAATCATGTGTAGGTAGACATTCACAATAACCACATTCACTTTGCCCAGATTGCGGATGGTGGTGGGAACAAGAGAAATGAGAAAAACATAATGAGTGAGCTATCAGCTCACCAAATTGACCGGTTAAGTAACATTTGGAAAGGTGGAATTAGTTATCCTTAGCATTATAAAGATATATTGCATAATCAGGAATAAGGAAAGGTGTTATTTATTACCAAGTACCAAACTGTCAATGCATCCAAACTCCACATAACTAGAACTAGATACAGACCACGGTATTTCTACAGTAGGCTTTATACAATATTATGAATTCTGGGGCTCATAAAATGAGAAGTAGAGAGGTCATTTTATATGTGACAGAGGACACAAATGACAGTAAGTTCTCCATGATGGACAGCACCCAGGTCATACACTGGCTGTGCTATGGAAGAAACAAAGCGTTCATAACGATGAGTTCAGGGATGAAAAGAGAGGGTTCTGTACAAGATAAAGTTTGGTGACCATGTCTAAGGGGGACTTATGGATCCCAGCGATGTTCCAGGAGCTGCCAATATGGTAGGACACTGTGGCTGACCCGCCACGAGTCCGCAAAACAAGGGGGGTTTCAACAGAGCTGCTGGCAGGTGAGGCTGTCCGGAGGGACTGACTCTGAAATGATCTCAACTATTCTATAGGGGGCAGCACAGACAGCAAGCTTTTCTAGAATGGGCATCAGACAAGTGACATTGACTAGACACCTATATGACACAGCTCCTTAGAACAGTAACCAAGCAGAAGTGAAATTGAATCATCGAAAGGGCGGCGGAAACACTGGTGCCCCTGACAACCTGGGGGGGGGGCAGTGCGGGGGGATGTCGAGGGGCAACAATGACGAGACACACCTGGGCAGGGAATGACACTGGCCCCAAGGGTGGTGCATGTGGAGCTGGGGAGGTCCTTGCCTGGCAGGAGGTGGCTGCTCGAAGGGGAGACAGACCCTCCCCCCTGCCCCGCTGGACGGTGGCGCGAGCCCCGGAGGGGGAGGCCGGCGGGAGGCTCGCAGGTGCCCGGGCTTACCTGGTGCAGGGCTGTCAGCCCGTCGACGTTGACCGTGTTGATGTCTGCTCCCCGGGCGAGCAGCCGCTTCACTTCGTCCGTGTCCCCGCTCGAGCAGGCGGCCAGGAAGACGGCCCCGTCCTCAAAGCGGACCCGAGGCCCCCCCGCGGCGGGACGACGGCGGCTGCCGCCCGGAGCCCCGCCGCTCCGCCGACTCCTGCTCGGTCAGCGAGCCCCGCCAGCGCCGCAGCTGCTCGGCCCGCCGCACCCGCGCCGACTCGGCCCGTTTCCCACCCAGGTGCTCCAGTTCCGCCATGGCCCCGGCCCCGGCTGCCGCCGCTGCTGCTAGCCCGGTCGCCGCCGCCCTCCCAGCGATTCAACCGGGAGCAGAAGGCGGAGACCCCCGCGCAGCCATCTTTACTCCTCCCGCCGCCAGCGCCGCCCGCTCTACCCCCCCCAGCTTCAATACGCAGGCGCTGCCCGGACCGCGGGTCCTCATGGAATATGTAGTATCCCGCTGCTGACCTCCGGAGCCCTTGCTGCTCGACTGGGAACTACAAATCCCTGCATGCATCACAAAAGAGGCGGTAACCATTTGGCTCCTTTCCTAGCCGCGGTACCCAACAGGGTCACCTTTGCCCTGAAGTGTTCCAAATACTCCAACCATCTCTGGGACTGATGGGGACGAGGTGGGAAGGGGGGCGGGAAGGTGTCAGCCTTTTCCTCGGGGTGTTTTGGGAGTTGTAGTTTATTATGAGTGTTATTTTACTACCGATCCTATCGCTTTTCTATTCTCTCTTGGAAGTGGGAGAGAAGCAATCATTTGCCCCTTTATCCAAAATGGGAAAGTAAGTCATGGAATACGTGAAAGAATAGAGATGTCCTGACTAATGTTTTAAATTCAATAAACATGATAGTAAGGGGGTGGGGGGTGTAGGAGACACGTATTTAGGAATACGACCTGTAATTGCATTGACATGAAGCGCTTCTGGATGAGAAGGCTCCCTCTTACCAATGCAATTCACAATCTTGTAGAGTTTCCTGTGTCCTGAGAGATTAAATAACTTTTAGCCAGTATGTATCAAAGACCGAATCTGAACCCAGGTCTTCCCGGCTTCCCTAAGACAGGGCAGCTTTCTATTGACTATACCACACTGCCACTCATGCTATCTATCTGTCTACCTATCTATCCATCCATTCAGTCATCCATTTATCGTAACACATAAACACTGAAAACGAGACAGCAGAGGACACATAACTCCCCTTAGTATATTTTGGAAGTCTGTGGGGGATATGTGGCAAAATAAAGATTCTGAATCAATAGGAAGGCTATTTTCAGGTGCATACTGTGTTATTTACAAAATATATTATGCAAACTTGAAAGTCTACGTATATTTCATTTATTTAAAACACCGTATCCCCAAGGTCCTAGTCCTTTTAATAAATATAGTTTAAATGTTTTTTATAGAGGTAGAGAGCATCTAATGATTAGAGCACTGGATAGGTAGTAAAGAAGACTTAATCCTTTCTACACTTCACAGTTCACTTGTTATGTGACCTTTCACAATCCACCTTATGACTCAGTTATCCCTAATATAAAGTAATAACCTAATTCAGTCTGTCTCTGTTTCTGTCTTTCTCTCTGTCTCTCTCACAATTAAAGGAATTATCAAATGGAGATCTCACTTTAAAAGTAATAATATGAATGCAAAATGATAATTTTATCTAATAATGTGCCTATCTACAAAGTACATTTCATGGGTATTTTTATTACTTCACAAATACTAATTAACCTTTACAGCATCTTGGTCAAGTATCAATAAAAATATGCATAATAATCAATGTGAGGAGCATATATTATTATAGATGCATTTTACATAGCTATGTATCTCCCTGCTGTATGTATTGCTTTGTTTGTCATGTCAGTTAATTATTATGATTAAAATTCTTTATAATACTTACCTGATAACTTTGTCAACATAGCACTTCCTATCATTCCACCTCAGCATCTTACTAGTGATTAAATTGTCACAGAAACATAAAATCTCGGAACTGGAAGAGAACTCAGAGGCCCTCTAGTCCACCCCATTCTTGAACAGGAAACCCATCCACAGCCTACCCTAAAAGTCATTATCTTTGCTTAAAAACTTCTATTGAGGAAGACTTACCAACTCCAGGGACAGCACATTTCACGTTTTTATATCTCTGATTCATAGGAACCTTCAAAGTCCTCTAGAAGAACCTAAACAGAATTTCCAGCTTTAAAGATAATAATTTTTAAAAAGAAGAAAAGAATATCATTGAAGTATTTTAAATGAACAAAAAGAAGTTCAGAAGGAGATACAAACAAGGACAGCTTTGAAACCATGTTGAGTTTATTGTCTACTTTTTAAAAATATGAAATGCACATGACGGAAATTTGTGATTTCATTTACAATCTTTTCCTATTCTCTTTATGGAAATGTTCGTGTTAAGATCTTAAGTTCAAAATTATAAAAAAAATCTTAAAGATGTATGCCCAATATATCCCAAGGAGATCAAAGACAGAAACAAGATTTAAAAATAAACAAAGATAGTCATAGCTGTGCTTTTGTGATATCCAATAAAGGGAAATAAAGTTGGTGTCCATCAACTGGGAAATAGCTGAACAAAATGTAGTGTATGAATATAATGTATAATAAGACATTTTGAACGTAAGGAATTTAGAGAATCATAAGCTCTTTATGAGCTGATATAAAATGAAGTAAGAAAAAATGGAAAAACAACATATATAATGACTACAACAATGTAAATGAAATGATCTTTAAAAGGAAGCCTACTTGAGTAAATCACAGTAGCTGTGTGACTATGGACAAGTCACTCAATCTCTCTGTCCCTCTGTTCTTTCATCTGTAAAAAAAATGGAGGAGCTAAATTCAAGGGCCTCTAAGATGCCGTGGAGCTCTAAACAGGGACAATCCTCTATCCATTACACCATGCTGTCTCTCAGTGTCCATGTTATACTTTAATATATTGCAGATTCATAAGCCCATGATTACATACCTGCAAATGTACAGAAATGTTCGATTTGTTTCTTTCTAATTGTTTCTTTCCTACAGATCATTCCCAAATAAAAGCCACAAAGTAAATTGTACAAAATTTTGTCCAATACTATCATTTTAACATAATTTTACAAGTTGTCAAGGCAATTTTTCCAGCCCTTAAGGCCTTTTTGATATCGGTATGCTCTCCTCATGATTGATTTTGTATATCAGTATTTTCTCCATCTTGTGCACATTATACCTTGCACTTACACTTTACAAGTAGGTATTATTAAATGGTTATATGAAATATAATGGAATTAGAAAAAAACTTGTAAAGAAACATATTGATTTTGTGGAATTTAGATTATATAAGAGCCATTTTCCCAATAGCTAACTGTTCAAAGGATATAAATGGGCAGTTTCAAAGGAAGAAAACCAAGCTATCAACAGCTATATGGTTATACCAATCAAATTACCAAGAAGATACTTTACAAAACTTAATAATACAAAGCTCATTTGGAAAAGAAACAACAGATCTAGAATATCAAGGCAAATTTTGAAAAACAGTAGGGATAAAGAGGGAATAGCACTTCCAGACCTTAAACTATATTATAAAGTAGCAGTCATTAAAATTGGTTAAAGACTAGAGAGAACAATCAATAGAACAGCCTAGATAAGAGAGATTGAGAAACAGTAGAATTCAATAACCCAGTATTTGATAAAGTAGAAAACATAAATTTTCTAGGAAAAACTTCCCTATCTGATATGAACAAACAGTTCAAAAATGCAAACTATTCACAACCACATAAAAAAGATCCAAATCACTAATAATTAAGAAAAATTAAAATTAAAACAACCCTGAGGTTTCATCATATATACTTCAAATTGGCAAAAATGACCCAAAATGGCACTAGTCAACATTGGAGGGGTTGTGGAAAGATAGACACATTAATGTATTGTTGGTGGAGCTGCAAAATGGTATAACCATTTTGGAAAGCAGTTTGTAATTATCCAAATAAAGTGACTAAATGTCTACCCTTTGAACCAGGGACTCCATTACTGAGTTTATACCTCAAGGAAGTCATCAAAAAGAAAAAAGTCCCTATATATGCCAAAATATTTATAGCAACACTTTTTGTAATAGCTAAGAATTGGAAACAAAGTAGATGCCCATTGTTTGAGGAATAGCTAAACAAATTGTGGTACATGAATGTAATGAAATATTACTGTGCTGTAAGAAGTGATTTTATGATGAATATAGAGAAGCATGGAAAGATCTATATGAACTGACGCAGGGTGAAGTAAGGAAAACAATATACACAGTAATTAAAACAATGTAAATGGAAAGAACAATGCTCCAAAAAATCAAAAGTAAATGTAACAAAATTATAAAGATTAAGTGAGACTCAAAGAGATATGAGAAGATAGTCCCAACCCACCCCATCATGGAAGTGGGACGTCCACAGATACTGTACATGTTTTTAGACTTTTTCAACAGATTGATCAATTGTGCTGATTTTTTTTGTCCTATCTGGAAAAAACAAACAAACAAAAAAACATTGCCATATGGAATGGCTCCCTAGGAGCGGGAGGGGATGGATGCATGAGATTCTATGGTGATATGAGAAGCCGAGAACATCCATAAAAACTTTTTTTGGGAAAAAAAAGCTATGTGAAAAAAGGTTTAAATCACTAATAATTAGAGAAATGCAAATTAAAGCAATTCTGGGGGTTCTACCTCATAACCTTCAAATTGGCAAAGATGACAAAAAAAGAAAAATAAATGCTAGACAGGCTGTGGGAAGGGAGGCAGATATGTGCACTACTGGTAGAACTATGAATTTGTCAAACCATTGCTGAAAAGCAATTTGTAACTATACCCCAAAACTGACTAAGCTGTGCAAACCCTTTGACCCAGCTATATTCTACTCCTAGACCTATACCTCCAAAGAGTTTAAAGAGAGATCCTCTCATCTAGGCTTCGTTATGAACTCTTTTCCTATCCCTAGGTGCAGTAGTTATATGCTTCCTTACTCCTCTAATTTGTTTTATGATAAGACCTTTTATAACTAAGCCATCCATTTGAAATTTATCGTGGTATATTGTGTAAGAGGTTGATACAAACCTAATTTCTGCTAGATTGCTTTCTAGTTTTTCCAGAAGATTTTTTCAGATACTGAGTTCTTGACCCAGTAGTTGGGGTCTCTAGGTTTATTTCTATATGTTGGGCACCTAATCAGTTCCACTGATCAACTTCTCTGCTTTTTAATGAATACTAAATAGTTTTAACAAT